TAATCAAGACAAATTGCTTGCACTGGTGCAAACTTCGAGTGCTTCCAATTAAAACGAAAGAAAAAACAGGGCTGCATTTCGTACTGATTATTAAACTGGAAAATCAGCTATCAGATGAGTCAAGATGTCGTGCAGCACCATGAGGCATTCGCATCAGCCGGCAAGACCGTACACTTCGTCCGCTCTTGCATGACCAAACCTGAATATCATGCCGTTGTTATTATTCCCAAATAACCGGCTTAACCGACAAACCGCTTCACTACTGGATGTGCCAAGGCAGCATGGTGCTAACGCTTTGTTGAAGGACATTCGCAGTTAAGACGAAGTTTGTCCCTTGAGAGGATTCGAACTCGGCAGCTTTGCAATTTAGAGCCGACCTTTCAGCACTGTGCCACCAACCCCTTAAATTAATTAAATTTCAATTTACGTGTTGTGCTCATTTGGTTATGGTATCCGCTGAGGGTGTGGAAGTAGTGCTGCCCGTCACTAGTCAGTGACATCTTTCAGTGATAGCTGAAACCTCACAAAGTGGTGTACTTCTCTGAGAGGCTTGGTGAGTCTTATGGAAACACTGGCAATAGTTAATGAAGGTTGGCGCCGAATGAACTGCCAAGCAATTACTCGGCAGCAAACTCTTAGAGATAAATGGAAACCGGAAAAATAGGTGCAGGCCAGCGTGTCGGCATGAACAACATCTACGACAGGTGATACTTCAATACACGGTTGGTAAGTGGACCCGGAACGTCGTCAAGTTCTTCGTGGCTAGCCATAATGCAGGAACACTGACGAATGACTGACACGTTTATCGACCTTTACTGGCGGGAAACAGAGAATATCAAGGTGGGCGTAATTGGAATATGCCGGACCAAAAGATCTACCGAATTTGTTACGCTATCGAGGACCATTGTCCAAGTGTTCCTCAGTTAGGCCATAGAGAACCGAACTCAGAGAGGCAGCGGTTGGTTCATAATAAAAGGTAGGGTTATATCAATCGTAGTGAGCTAAAATATCATATCATCTTTGGTAGCAATTCTACTTGTACAGACGGACAAAAGAATAATCTAACTTTACTGCCCAACCCAACAAGTTGAATTTAAATAAATCGAGCAATTCTACGAAGAATTGGAAGGGGCATTGGAGATGAAGACTATATAAATGATTGTCAAAGGAGACGTCAG